CCAGACCCCCATGGCTGACCCAACACTCATGCCTCCATCCCCATGGCCGACCCAACTCAAAGACCCCCATGGCTGACCCAACTCGAAGACCCCCACGGCTGACCCAACACATTTCCCAATCCCCTCTGATGACCCAACACCCGTCCCCCCACCTGGGCCTGTCCCCGGCCTCCATCTGCCCCAGCAGCCCCTCCATCCACGCCAGCAGCTCTTTGGCAGCTCCCACGAAGCGGACTCGCTCCGCGGCGTCGGCCACGCGCAGCCTCCCCTCCTCGCAGGCTGCCAGCAGCTCCTTCCACGCCTTCAGCACCTCCTGCTCCCTCTTGGCGATGGCTTCGGCGTTGTCCCCGGCGTAGACGGTCCTCAGCTGGGCCGCCCCTTCCTGGAGCTGCCTCACCTGTCCCACCAACACCTCCACGTCTCGTTCGAAGGCTCCCAGGGCCCTCTGGATCCCCCCGGCCGACCCTCGAGGTTCGTGGGTCAATTCGGGCAACCGCCGGCGCTTCTCCTCGATCTGCCCCAGCAGCTCCCGGCAGTCGCTGAAGAATTTATGGAGCTCGTGGGAGGCCGCCAAGAGCTGAGCGCGGGTCTCCATCAGCTCCAGGAGGTCGGCCCAGGCTTCGTTGACTCCGTCCTTCCATTCGGCGATGGTGGCGGCGTCGGCGTGGCCGTAGTCGATGAGTTCGTCCACCATTTGGTTGACGGCGGAGATGCGCTCCTGGCCCACGTTGCCCGTCTCGCTGGCGAACTCCAGGAACTTCTCTTGGAGGAGCTGGGGAGGGAAGGAGGCAGCCGGGGTCGGGGGGTGAGCGGGTGGGAGGGGGACAAAGAGGTTGGGGTGGTGGTGAGCGTGGGAGGAACGGCCGTGGAGAGGAAGGACGCGCCGAGGATGGAGTCAGGACACAAGGATGGAGAAGGAAGGGCTCTGGGACCGCAAAATAGAGAAGGAACGACTCCAGGACCCCAAATAGACAAGGAACGACTCCAGGACCCAAAAAATGGGGATGGAACACCTGGAGGACCTAAAGAATGGAGAAGAAACGACTCCAGGACCCCAAAATAGAGAAGGAA